TTCTTTGACTGTCTCACGTTTCCGGACTCAATCCGGACTCCACAACCAGAATGCAGGATTCATCTCCTTTTCGTTACCATTCCTCCTCGTTGAGATAATGTTCTTTTGACATGTTCTTTGACTGTCTCACGTTTCCGGACTCAATCCGGACTCCACAACCAGAATGCAGGATTCATCTCCTTTTCGTTACCATTCCTCCTCTTTGAGATGATGTTCTTTTGACATGTTCTTTGACTGTCTCACGTTTCCGGACTCAATCCGGACTCCACAACCAGAATGCAGGATTCATCTCCTTTTCGTTACCATTCCTCCTCTGATCTCTCTTGTCCAGAGATAATGTTCTTTTGACATGTTCTTTGACTGTCTCACGTTTCCGGACTCAATCCGGACTCCACAACCAGAATGCAGGATTCATCTCCTTTTTGTTACCATTCCTCCTCGTTGAGATAATGTTCTTTTGACATGTTCTTTGACTGTCTCACGTTTCCGGACTCAATCCGGACTCCACAACCAGAATGCAGGATTCATCTCCTTTTCGTTACCATTCCTCCTCTTTGAGATGATGTTCTTTTGACATGTTCTTTGACTGTCTCACGTTTCCGGACTCAATCCGGACTCCACAACCAGAATGCAGGATTCATCTCCTTTTCGTTACCATTCCTCCTCTGATCTCTCTTGTCCAGAGATAATGTTCTTTTGACATGTTCTTTGACTGTCTCACGTTTCCGGACTCAATCCGGACTCCACAACCAGAATGCAGGATTCATCTCCTTTCGTTACCATTCCTCCTCTTTGAGATGATGTTCTTTTGACATGTTCTTTGACTGTCTCACGTTTCCGGACTCAATCCGGACCCCACAACCAGAATGCAGGATTCATCTCCTTTTCGTTACCATTCCTCCTTTTTGTCCTTATAAGCTACCTCAGCCTTGGAGAAAAAACAGGAAATAATAGAAAAGAAAGAAGAGAAGGGAGAAAGTAGAATAATAGTAGAAATAATTAAACAAAATCACACCCATTATAAAAACAATGATAATTTTAGTCTTAGTAATAACAATAACAATAGTAGCCTCAATAATAACAATAACAACGACAATAATAGTAGAAGTTCGTTAATATTAAAAGTAATAGTGGTAGTATTCGTTGTAGTCATAGAAAGCTGGAGCTACCCTGAGTCTGTAAATTGGAAGCAACTGCCCAATTGGTCTGAAACAGGTCTGAAAAGGGTCTGAAACCACAGAAAAAGGCCATTCGCAAGCCCACCACCCACATACATAGAAAGATTCTGAAATGGTGAGCCGGAAGGTGTTTCAGAGTGGTTTCAGACCGGTTTCAGACCCTTTTGGGGGCGCTCACGGGGCTTTGCTCTTTTCCTAGAAAAGAGGCTGAACTTAATGCTCCGGCAATGAAACCAAAACAAAAAAATCAACACATCATTCCTGCAACTAAAAAACGAAATAAAGCAATGATGCTGTAACCGAAGAAGCAAAGATTCTGAGATGGTGAGCCGGAAGGTGTTTCCGAGTGGTTTCAGACTGGTTTCAGACCCTTTTGGGGGCGCTCACGGGCTGTGCCCTCTGTCCGGAAATCCCCAAGGTGAATTAAAAAATAACACAAGCTTATTCGCTTTAAGGGAAGTGTGACAAAATAGAGGGTGTCGAAGTCCCTCTTCCAGTAGTAGTAGTAGTAGTAGTAATAGTAGTAGTAGTAGTAGCAGTAGTAGGACCAGTAGGACCAGTAGGACCAGTAGGACCAGTAGGACCAGTAGGACCAGTAGGACCAGTAGGACCAGTAGGACCAGTAGGACCAGTAGGACCCGTAGGACCAGTAGGACCAGTAGGACCCGTAGGACCAGTAGGACCAGTAGGACCCGTAGGACCAGTAGGACCAGTAGGACCAGTAGGACCAGTAGGACCCGTAGGATCAGTAGGACCAGTACTAGTAGTACTAGTAGTACTAGTAGTACTAGTAGTACTAGTAGTACTAGTAGTACTAGTAGTACTAGTAGTAGCAGTAGTACTAGTAGTACTAGTAGTACTAGTAGTACTAGTAGTACTAGTAGTACTAGTAGTAGTAGTAGTAGCAGCAGTAGTAGTAGCAGCAGCAGTAGTAGTAGTATGACAACATATTTTCCTACTTAAGGGGGTATCGCTCTTCAAGGCTCCCTATCGCTCCCCACAGGAAATCACAGATTTTTGACAGTGACGGCGGCCGAATACTAAATCTGTACATACCATCTTTTGACCCTTGCTCAGATGAGTGCAGCCGTAATTCGGTAGTATTGCAATCGTAGTTGGATCTGCCGAATTACAATTCCAATTTAGCCGTTGAAACGCCTACATACCAAAGCTACATAGATACATATACACACCTACAAGTGCAGCCGTTATTCGGCAATATTGGCATCGCAATTGGATATGCCGAATTGCGATTCCAATTAAACCGAATTACAAACGGCTACATAGCAACCCTGCATAAATACCTATATTACTGCAGTTTCAATGTTTTTTTCCTGTTTGGTTCGAATTAAAAAATGCTGGTCGATGCAGGTTCGAGTTAAACACGCCTACATACCAAAGCTACATAGATACATGAATACACAACATACACACCTACATACCTACATACAACATACTACATACCAACATACACACCAACATACAAAGGGCATTCAGAATTGGATTTCAACCTATTGTTTGCTTAATTCAGAATTTGGTTGCGTTCAATTTGGTTTAATTCTACTGCTTTGGGACCTGGGAAGAAAAAAGCAATTTGCCTGCAAAAAGCAATGGCTCAATCACCTTGGACAGCAAATGAAATGGCAACTGCAAGAAACGCGGGCACTGCAGGTTGAATTTTCATCAATTTTGCCCACAGATGGTTACAGGTTATCGCTTTTTGGGGGAAGCCCTATCGCTTTACATGGTTTGGTGCATTTTCTCAACACAATTGAACCCTCCCTTACTAAAGTAATCTACGCTTATTTTGACGGTATCTCATATATTGAAAAAAGAACCGCAAGCTATCGAATCGAACCACGAATGGAATCGCAAGCTATCGAATCTAAATTCAACGACGAATCCAAATCGAAAATTGAATCGCAAGCTAACGAATTGATATTAATCAAGAATCGCTTACTAACTCCCATACTCCCCGCAGGACTCGAATCGTTCCGAATCGAATCGTTAATCGAATCGCACTAGGCGGAATCGAAGGCCAATTCTCAGGGAATCAATTCCTTCTGTAAAAAATCGAATCGAAATCGCCAAAAACGAATCGGGACCACCCTGATCATTGTCTTTCCGTTTGCTCAAGCCGCTCCGGGTTTGCTCCATTGCCCACTCTACTTCCAGTTCCAGCAACTACTTCCTGAAGGGACAGACGGTATTCAGAAAGCTTCAGCTGGCACCAAACTCTGACAGGGCCTTGCGAGGATCTGCAGCATCCAGTGCACCCAACTCATCATCAGTCAGATAGCCTGAGAAGCTCAGAATTGGAGGAGTCTGTCGTGCGGAACTAGTCTGAATCTCATCATTTGGTCAAAATAAACAGCTTTCAAGGCCATCAAGAGTCAAGAGGTATGCCACACATGATGATACATGATGATACATGATGCATATTGATGTTGAATGATTTTGATGTTTTTTTTGGGCAGCAGGTAAGCCTTGATGATATTCATTGGTGAAGAGAATCGACCATGTAAAGCTGATGATCACCTTGGCGGAACAGGGGGCGATAAGAGATTAACAGAGCAGCTGATCAACACCTCTGTGACACCTCCACTTGAGTCTAATCACACTAATGACATCTAATGACTTACTAATGACTTACTAATAACTTGCTAATGACTTACTAATAACTTACTAATAACTTACTAATGACTTATATACTAATAACTCCTGATGCATTAAAGCATTGACAACCTATGGACCCCAATGATGGGTGTCAGACCAGTAAAATTGCTGTCCATCCGACTGCTCTGGCCGCTGCAGTGATACCTGAGTATGAAACTAGCGAGAATAGATAGTTCACTCAAGAAGTTCAACATTCAAAATAAACAGAATACAATTGCTCATTGCCAGAAAACCTTTTGCGCTGGACAGTCAAAGTTCCATGCTTGGATGTACTCACCACTGTACCGAGGGTCAAGCCTTTGAGAATCATTAGCAGCTGCGGAAATGCTCGCATCAACTTGGCCATCCGAGTAATGCCTTGGCATACCACGAAGATTTTTGTTCCCTGTTCGTTGTCCAATTTGAATTGTCAATGTGGTTCTCTGCTGTGTCAAATTGAACTCAGCCCTCTGCGCAACAACCGCAGCAACCTGGCGCAGGATGCAACAGATGATGCAACAGGATGCAACAGGTGGGCCGTGGCGCCCTGGCCCCGTGGCGGGAAATTGTCGCATCGCGCCATGTCGCGCCATGTCGCGCCTCAGGATGCTCAGTTGGCCAAGGCCTTGCAGACCGCCAAGAAAGGGCATGATCCACGTCTCCCAGACCTTGGCACGATTGAAGATCGAATCGAATATGAATAGAAGCAACATCTTGGGGTCCTAGCAGCTCTAGCACTTTGTTTCAATCGTCTCAAGGTATTGAGGTATTGTATGGTATTGTCCTATTTGGCTTTGAAACAGCTACCAGCTGGCCCAAGACCCTACAAGTCCCGAACCGATTCAGCAACTGCAGCATTACAATCACTACAGCGCTTCAGCACTTGTACAAAGCACTGAGAGTGCCACCATCAAACAGACCAACATGGCGTCAAAAACAAACCATCTGTCCCGGAGACATTGGCACTTCTGCCTGTACCTGACACAAAATATGTGCATATTTACAGTACATGCAAGTGCAAAGATGTGAAGTCGTGCTTTCCAGACTCCACGGCAGTGGCTCACGCCAGGAATCGAATGAGAATCTCAATCGTGAAGTACGAGGCGAAGAATGTTTCTGTGATGATGAAGTATACCTGAGACAAGTACAACGCGGCTTTCGGCCAGTCTCTGGTCCCTGACCTCACAAATCAACACGCCTGGCAAGACTCCCCTGAGATCTGGACAGGACCTTCGTAAAGGTTTGCCGGCGTCTCAAACCTGCGTTGAAAAGCACTGAAATCCATGGAGGCCAGAGGCAAGGAAGCAAGAAGCATCCGCAAAAAAACTGTCCAGGTCGGCCTTGCGGAATAGTCCGCATCCACGCCAATAGCTAGGGCATTGAGAACTATTATACCTGGAGTTGTCAAATTGCACAATTCTTGGAACGTCTGGAGTTGTCAAATTACATTCTTAGACACGACAATGCCTCAGAGCCCTACACTGAAAAACACAGGAAAACACATGAAAACGCTGTGCTCCACCCTTTGTTCCACCCTTTGAAAACTTGAACAAGACATTGGCCGAGGCACAGATCGTCGCTGCCTCGAAGTATTTGTTCTTCGCAATCCGTCCAAAGAAACTGCAGCGAGGATCTGGTGACTGGTGGGCAATGCTTTTGTGCAAAGAAGTTCGGTTGAAAGTTGAAACCAAATAAAATCAACCAGTTCTTGACCTTTGGGAAGCAAGCTCTCCCGCCGTTGGGTACTATTAGCAGCTCATTAATCATTGCAGCCTTGTCAGGTCTTTTGTTGACTGCAGATTTAGCAGTCCCAAAAGTTTTGTGGGGTTCGGGCAAACTTTGTGTAATCTGAGCAGCAGGCTTGTCTGAGAATTTCCGTTGCAGAACCATTGTCTGCGTGGGACCCTGACACTCAAATGATGCTCTATTTCGGCATTCAAACATCAAAGCGTTTTTGATGCTTGAAAATTCAAGGTTGTGAATGTCGGATCTATTTGGATCTATTTGGATCTTCTGCAACACATTGTGATCAACCGATATCAACCGATATCAACCGGCTCATAGGCTTGTAGGGCTTTGTGCCTCGGGTCTTCCTCGGGCCACTTCATCTCTGAGATTGTGGATGCCTTGGAAGATTGTCCTCAGAACTCGGATAGCCCCAAGTTGTGGCACTCTGAACTTCTCTGAACTGTTGTGTTCAGTTTCAACCCTTGTGGCACCCTCGAATGTACCATTTATCAACACATGTTTTCTGACAATCCCATCAAAAAAAATGAAAACACACAATTTGGTAAACCAATTTTCTGGACTATTCCCCTAAACACAGAGTCAATGTCAATGACACTGCATCGTTTTACGATGTTTTATGCTTGCGCTTCCGCCAGGCTTCGTGGGTTGCGGTCCATCTGGTGCAGCCGCCGCCTCGTAGATCTTCCGAACATCATCTGAGCATGCCAAATGCAGTGTCCATGAAGCTTGAGCAGCTTCAAACCAAGCAAACAAATATAACTAACAAAAAGAAATAGAAATAAAATATAACAAAAATAATTCAAAATTCAGTAGAGTCAACTAAACGCATCCCTTCCTCACCCCCAGAAAGTCAAAGAAATGAATATAAAACACTTGGCAAGGTGCCCAATTTCAGGCTTCAGTGCATCCAAATTCAGTCCCTGGAAAGTACAATGGTGTGGGAATGGCTACTGGTCACCGTGCCCTCTAATCCTTCAGAAATAGCCAAATCTTTACCCGGAAAGACATAGTTGCATCAGTCCTTCCACCATCCAGCCATCCCAGGGTCCGAACTGAACCCCTTGGATCCACGTCCATGACCTTGCCACAAGTGATCTCAGCACAACCCCTTCCAGCCCCACTATACTATACACAATCTGCTCCGTTCATATTGTAGTTAAGCGTAGTATTCCCACACTGTGGACCTTTATCAGTAGTTGTCTCTTCACTACATCAAGTTTTTTGTGCCAGCAAAAAGCTGCTCTGTAGCAGAGGAGTCACAACGTGCAAAATGCGAACTGCATGACACTACCGTTGTGGATCATGCTGCACGCAACACTCCCAAATACAATGAGAACTATGGCGTGTGTCCTCTGCGAACAGCGTTTGACGAGATCAAAAGGACTGCTCGGCTCATTTCAAGTGGAACTTCTTTTGCGCTGGCACAATGGTATCTTTGGCACAATGGTATGCACACTAGCGCAGGAAAAAAAGAAAGGAGAGGCATGCGAAGACACTCCAAGCCAGCGTCTCATGATACCCACCCACACTTCGACACATGAAGGAAAAGAAACATGTGGAATGGGTTGGGAGATTATGGGGAATTGACCCTGTTGTGCGACCGCCGTGTTGTGATCAATGCTTTCGGATTCTAATCATCCTGCTTATCTGTCCATTCACTATCTTTCATTGGTAACGTACATTGGTTACATTGGTAACCAAACCAACAAACAATTCTTGTCAACTTGTCACCTACACTGTATACATCTGTATACACCGCCGCCCTCGGTTCTGGGATGTTCTGGGTCTCTGGCCTGAAATATCCCGGTCCCAGGCACTGTCCACAGCATCATTCACCTAAAGGCTGAGCATGCAGCATGGAGGGCACATGAGTGGAAAAATGCAAGGAGTGGAATGAATAATTCTAGAAAATCATTGTCTCAGCCAACCTGAATATCTTATTGTGCTCTTGAGTGCATTGTCGGAAATTGCAAGTGCATGCTTCAACCGAACGACGCTGATGAAAGCAAGCAGATTTGGATACACCTGTCCAATCCTGTCTGCCGAACCTACCCAGAATCACTGCCATACTGTCAGCACATGATATCTATGACACCAAAGCTGCCTGGTGCACCATGCCAGCTGCAGAATTGCATTGGAGGGTTGGGCTGAAAAACAGCCTTTCTAGGCTGCAAAAGTTATTGCTACTGTCACCAATTTCGCAACGCATGTGCATCGGTGGCTGAGGACTATATGTCGTGACTTTGCGTTATGGCTGGTGTGCTCTGCAGGTTTGAAAGTTTATTGGACAAATGCACCTGAGATCGTGATTGGATACTTAATGTTCAATGCACACTGCTTTGAAGTATGTAGCGTTGGAACATAAGTCTTGATTTCTGGTCTCGGTGAATACGTTTTAAGTCAATGAAAATTACACATGAAAGCAAGCTGCTGGGCCTTGATCTTTAGCATTCTCTAGCTCTTTACTCCATGTGTTTGATTCTTTGGTGCATTTTCCAGCTGTGCGCCAAAATTGCCAACAACGGAATCATCAAGGTCCACTCAAGCCGCCAAGAGTAGTGAATATATACAAGTACAGCAAGCATAACAATCGTGACAAAGGAGAAGGAACTGACGTGAAATCATCCAAACCGTGACAGCATGAAGCCATGCATATCATACCAAAATGCCCTTCAGCGGCATGCAGCAATCAAAGGCTTGTCTTTGGCTTGTCTTTGGCCTGTCTTTGGCTTGTCTCGATGGTGATACTTCAAGCTTTCAATATTCACTTGCACCCACCCAACTAGCATTGTTTTGCGGCAAAACAGTAGGAAAAAGGCATGAGTAGCATCGCTCCTACACAACATCATCTTTGCACAAACCTACAATCATTGCGACCCAGACCTGTCTAATTTTATCGAGAAGTATAGCATGCATTAGCATGCTTTGATTCGGAACTGTTTGCTTCAAGTCAAGTACACCACATCTTTAATTTACCTTGGGTGTCATGCTTGGACTTCCTGGTGAAAACGATTCAGTATTTGGATCGTTTATCACCATGCGACCATGCGAGCAATCTTTGGCTTGCCTCGCAAGCACGCTCACTTCTGGTGTCACTTCTCCGAGACTCCCAAATCAGCTGCTTAAAAATGAGAGTGCCTCTCGCGAAACTTACCGTAACTTACCCAACAGCAGGCCCAAAAAGAACTGGAACTTGTGGTTTTCATAGTTTTCTCTCCATCTGTTCTGACTACGAGTAATTATTCCTGTCAGTTCCTGCCAAACTGAAATCGCTTTGAACAACAATGGACGGTAAGAAATAAATCTATGGATTCTGAGTCAGAGGGACTGTTGTCACAAGTCTTATATCACCCAGTTCAAACCAGGACAATGTCTTCTGCACCATGCTGCATTCTGTTTGTCTGGAGTCCTATAAATGTACGTACAATCCGTCCGTCCGTGCGTGCCTCCCTGCCTACCTGCGTGCGTACGTATGCATGCATGCATGGATGTATGGATGGATGGATGCATGGATGTATGCATGCATGCATGAATGCATGGATGGATGCAAGGATGCATGGATGGATGCATGGATGGATGGATGTATGATACGTATGTAAACTATATGTATGTAGACTAATCAATACGCTAAACGCACTGATTCTGTGGCCCAGGCCAAGGCAGAGACGGAGATTGCACCAAAACCTGCCACTTGTCAGGTTGTCAACAAATGGCAAAGGAATGAATAAACAACAGCAGCTTAGTGGGTTGCAATAGAGGCTGCAACATGCGGCAACAAGCAGTCTCACCTCCATTTCGACACTCCTGCTTACTATATCTTACTATTGTCAAACCAAGTGATGCTTTGATCCAGAAACCTGGTGCATCCTGGTGCATTTGAGACAGCTCACAGGAAGTTTTCGTGGTCACACTTGCCTGCGGCCAGCATCAAGATGCAGCTCAACGCCTTTCGTTTCTCTGCCTGCAAAGCGCACCAGGAAGAGAAGAGTCAAGTCAGTTACCGCTAGGGGCTGTCGATGTAAGTAATCAATGTCAAAAAAGATCCTGGGTCATGGTATGTAACCATGAAACTTTTTCAATGTTCATTGCAAGCCTTCTCACATTTGAAAGCCAGCTAGGGCTGTATTGAAGATAGTGAAAAAGGAATCTACACCAACCTCCTCTTCGGCATCATCATCATCATCATCATCCTCCGGTGTTGAGGAACCTCCACACACGTTCCCAACGCAAACGAATCACATTGGACGCATGCGCTTTCGGGTGAATGTTGATTGTATAATGGCGTTCAACTCACAGCCGCACAAACGCTTTCAAAACATGAGACTGGCTATGACACTGAGGGTGGCTCCTTGTAGCTCCGAACCATGCAAAGGAAACAAATTGGTTCATTCACAGGTTTCTCAATTTCCAAAAATGGTCAAATTGGAGTCTGAGGGGTTCGCCTGGATAATTTGCATTCACGTGAAATGTTTGAGACAGGAGATTCAAGCACATCCGTGCACATCCCATTTCGCCGACCTTTGCCACGTCTTTGGCGTAAGCCCATTGGCTCTGCCGTTGGCTGTTCTGTTGGCTCTTCAGGAGCTACAGGCGGATCAACAGGCGGTTGCGCACTCTGCACCTCCCGAACAGCTCTGGGAGCAGGACACCCTTGTGACAAATTCGTGACCAACTTGACTGGATTCACATTTGCGACAACATGCGGGATGGGACATCCAAAAAAAACATGTTTCTTGACATCGCACTGTCGGCCGAATTGTATTCAAAAAAAAACGAAAGTCTGGAAGTCTGGCTCCAGCCTCTGATGGAGCCTCTGTGGTGGCCTCCTCCTGCCAAGTTTCGGAAATCGAATGAAATTGACTCTCTCAATGCAGCTTCGATTCACCGCAAAAAATAAGCATCTGTTCAGTCGAGCATTGTCAATTCATGAGTCCATTGGTCCTCATGAGGCTCTTCTGTCTCTTCCCCCTTTCCAGAGAACATTTCTTTGGCAACATCTCCTGAAGTTCAAACGTTCAACTCGCTAGAAACTCGTTTTGACTTGTACGATATTGCAACATTGTATACAGAAATTTGATGTAATTTATTTTTTTGATCATGCGGATGTTGGGATCAGCCATTTCATCCCAGATTCCTAAAATGTTTGGTGTGCAATTTTTTCTGCACTTTGAAAATTTCAAACTGAATTCAGTCAAGTTTCTTGTGCGCCATTTGTAATCCTCCATGTTCTTTTTTAGTTGCTTCAGGGCAGCTGCTACGTCTGGATTGTTCGGCTCAATCTCGTGAGCACTCACGAGGGCATCCTCAGTGCGTCGATGCACATCGACAAGTTTGGTTGAACGGTTTTTTTTGTCTTATAAATTTTGGTTATCGTCCAGATTTCAGATTATGTAAGTGGGGTGCAACAGGTGCACGAAAGACCTTTGTATTTAGATTGGTCAGCTCCCCATGTAGGCAACAGTTGATATTGAGATTGTGAACAGTCTGAATGGTTGTCGGATTTTTTGAGATTGGGATCAATTGCTGCAAATTGCCGCCCATCCCCGCCTTGGCAAGCTCAAACTGGTCACGATTCAAATAGGCCAAACCCATGCGGTAGTAAGCCTTGACAGCCTTGATCTGTGAAAACCACAAGTCTTGGCAGCAATTTAACTATTGGTTGATAAAGATTTCCACAGAGTGCCTTAAGCAAAAGGAAGCCTGGAAGATTTTGTTGCAATCCGCTGATGATGTGCACATGTAACATGTATGTATGTATGTATGTATGTATGTATGCATGCATGTCTGTCTGTATGTCTGTATGTCTGCATGTATGTCTGTATGTATGTTTGTATATTAGTATGTTTGTATGTTTGTATGTTTGTATGGTTTTATGTCTGTATGTCTGTAGGTTTGTATGTCTGTAGGTCTGTAGGTTTGTATGTTTGTATGTTTGTATGGATGGAGGGATGGAGGGATGGATAGATGCATGGATGTATGGATGCATGGTTCTTTCTATCTATCTATCTATCTATCTATCTATTTCATATATGTCAGTTTTTTGAACTATTTATTTTTTATGTATATATATATGTATACATCATTCATGTGCATATATACAAAACATAACTCTGTATACATATGCACATATACAATCATATTTATATATTTATTTATTTATTTACCTGTTCGCAAGCACGTGTGCCGCAGAAACAAAAACGCGACAACGCGAAGGAGGGGCCGGCCAGGCGTAGCCTGGGAAAACAGAAACTAAAATACCTACGCGAAAACGCCTAACGCCGAAACTTAAACGTCAAACCAAACTCAAACGAAAAACCTGGGAAAAACATCGCTCGAAATCAGTGCCGTGCAATGCCAAAACAAAACATTGAGGAATGTGAACTGACGGAAGGCGGTGTTTTTTTTCCTGCATTGGTTTGGTCTGATGCTTATCTGATCCAGATGCCAACGATTGCTGGCCTCCAAAGGTTAGAAAAAATTTTGGGCTCTCTCAATCCAGCAAAGGCGAAGTGATCCGATCCCGCCAACGAATTTGAAAAAGGAATTCTGTCAGCCAGCTAAGCCTCAAAGGATTCTGTGTTGCGAACCGCCACGGCGCAAATATCTGCCACTGTTTCAATCAACAGCAAAGAATCTTCACAAAGCGAAAGAATGTCTTAATGGATCTCCTCTGAATAGTTTGTCTCGAGCAATTCTTTAACGTAATCAAAGACAGGAAGCCAGGTTCGATCAACCGCTGGACAGAGGCAAGCAGTGCCTGGGCACTGCGAGATGAGATGGGGTCTCACAAGGCAGGCCTGGGAAATACTGTGTCTCCATTGTTAAAAGTGCCTGTGTTCCACATTGCCAGAAAAAGGAAAGGGATTGTACATAAGGAGCCTGGCCAACGTGCTCCAAAATGGCCTTGATCAATGAGGCAATATTTTCGATGTCACCGATGCGGTCGGCAGATGAGTCCTGCTCGAACTGCATGAAAGCCAGTAGCATGGAGATGAATGCAATCATCTTGGTCAGTTCTTGCTCTGAGTATGCCATCAAATAGCACCTTGAGTTGTACCAAAAATCTGAATGCTATAGCCGAGTTTCCGAACAACTCAATTTTGATTTCTCGAAAGAGGTGGTACTCAAATCATTGCAGCAAATGAGAAAACAGTGAACGACATCGGAAATGCAACTGTGCCAAATAAACTGCAATCAAATGAAACTGAATGAAATCCAAAAGAATGTGCAACTGACATCAGAGAACAAATGCAATACTGAAATACGTTCAGAGAAGAAACTTCCGTGCACCAACATCTGGTGCCAAATAAAAAACCTAAAGCAGACGCCAAAACCAAACGCGGAGACTGACCAGGCGGGGGAAGAACGCAGGGGCAAAGCGCGTGGACAAACAGCACAACACAAAACCCCAACAGACGACAACCAGACAGGGACACAGAAGAAACGCGGGGGGAGAAGACCGGGCCAAAGGCCCAGGAGAGCCAACCAACAGACCCCACCACCAGCCCAGGCAACATGTGCCGCAAACAGTCACCCAGGTAAACCTGGACCTAAGCACCATCTCAAAGTGACAACATGACTCTTCGTACTACTCTCGCCGCACTCACATCTTTTTACCACCTTCTGCCTTCAGTCTGTTTGGTTCACCTGCTATCCTCAAATTTGCTTTGGGTCGGTCACTGTGTGACATGCGCATAGCCCCACACCAGTTTCAACGCCTGCTCAGAGCTGCCTGGTCACCCCAGGCTGGAACCTGCTTTTGCAGGTACCACCCATCACCTAGTAAAAGGAAAGGGGAGAAATGTCCGGGTCCCCCAAGAAAGTATCCCCGGAAAGAGGCTATGCGCAGGCGGGCTTCTCCACGGGAGGCCGGCTCTTAGGGTTGGGTAGGTGGGGAAAGAAAAGCAATGAATTCTTTTTTGGTTCAACTCCAACTTGAGCCAAAATGATAGCATTCATTGGCTCACTTAAAGATGACACATGCACACCCAAAGCCTGCCAAGCTCAATGAATGAATACATCTCAAAGTGACAACATGACTCTTTGTACTACTCTCGCCGCGCTCACATATTTTTACTGCCTTCTGCCTTCAGTCTGTTTGGTTCACCTGCTATCCTCAGGTTTGCTTTGGATCGGTCACTGTGTGACATGTGCATTGCCCCACACCAGTTTCAACGCCTGCTCAGAGTTGCCTGGTCACCCCAGGCTGGAACCTGCTTTTGCAGGTATCACCCACGCACTACTACACCCAAAGCACTAGAGGAATTCAAAGGTGAGGATGACTGGGATGAAAGGCAGATGGAAAAAATATTGTGGGGGGGTACGACGAATGAAATTTCAAGCCATGGCAGCGCCACCATGGATCATCAAAACCTAATCTACTAATATCATCGGCCCAGGTGCTCTTGCTCAGTAACCCTGGGCACGCAAGCCAAAGAGGGCAACATGGATTAGGTGACCGAGCTTTGCTAGGTCGGAATTGCTACAGTGCCCTCTCACTAAGGTCATCACAGCAGCCACACTGTCAAGAAACCAAAGGCCTTGCCGATTTCAAAAGACGTCAGGCCGTTTGATCAAAGCGTACAGCACCATCGAAAGTTCGAGCTGTGCGATGTGGTTCTCTGCTGGTTGCCAAAGGGTTTGAAGCTCTGCGCAACTGGTTGCAACAAAATTGAGACGAGCCTGGGACACATCAGGCTGGAAAAAGATAAGGTGGAAAGCACCAGGCCCGGGATTGTCAGCCTCGACAGCAGCGTCTGATGCTGCCAAAAATCGATGTTGCTGGTTGCTGCAAAGGGAATACTGAGAATCACGTTTGGGTTCAAAGCGCGTCACTGCTTGAACACCTCGAAGCATGCCTCAATCTCGGGTGTCGGCACTGCTCTGGCTTCGTCCTGGCGAGCTTTGACTGCCATGAGTCCACCATAGCCAACACGGGCGTAGATGCCCTGCTCTAAGCAGTTGGCAATACCGTACAACTTCGACGCAGTTCCAGGTGTGAACTTCCCAGTTGTTCGAGCAGTAGACATAATATCTCGGTTTTGTCATGAAGGCGAGAACGTGCCCAAAACCTGACATGGCCTGTATTGTTGATGTTGCTGAGGTCATGGGTCAGGCCCAGGAAGGTTCCAGTGCTCTGCATAGGTTGTTCTTGTCAGCTGCAAAAGGGGGAACCGATCAAACTGCATAGTTGGTTGACAGCCCATTGGCCTGATCCCTTAGAGGATTTGTGATTGTAGCATCATCGAAGTACAAGGAGACCAAGACTCTGCATAGCCTCCTGGAGAATGCTTCCACCAACCGGGAAAATCTGTTGAAAGAAGTCACTGTTAAGGGGGAGGCCGAAGAATAGACCAGAATACACCTGGTATGCTGATATGCTGGTGTTGCCACTCGTCATGGAACCAGACCACTACACAGCCCAAACTCTCCTGCAAAGACATGGGGCAGTAGCCGTATGCCAGTGGCAAGTCTTCCTGGCCTGTCTCCCAAGCGTCGTGAAGACAAAATTCTTGGATCTCCTCTTCCGATCATAGGTGCATCACCAGGCTGATGTGCTGAGCTGGCCTGATTAATCAGGGCTGCATAATAGAGTGAGCTTGTTGGAAGATCGCTCTGATTGGCCGCCAATGTCTCCATTGTCGATAACCCATTGTTCGCTCCCCACAGTGCCTGCAGTTCTGCCTGCATGTGAAGGAGGAAGTGCAAAGCCCCATGCAACGCCCAACAGACTCGCCTTGTCAGGTCGCCGCAGTCACTGCATCCTGTGCCCAGCTGCAAGGTGCCGCTGCTTTGGCTATCAAGCCAGCCGCTGAGTGCTCGATGCCAAGCTGGCCAGGGTCGCCCCCTGAGTGCCCGAGGGAAGAGTCTCGGATCCCAAAGCGGGCTAGTACCTCGCTTGGCAAGGCGCTGTGCGCGACTCACCCATGCCCAACTGTCTAGCGTCACCCGGAAGGCCATACATCTCTTGAGGCACGAGGTCGAGTGCCGTAGTTTGGCTGGTATAAGCCGCAAGGAGGAGAAGGTCTGGCTTCTCTTGATGCGTGTAGTAAAAGTGCCAAGCATCCCCGGTTGCACAGCAGGTGGGATGATGACACCGCGGCTGCTCCACAGCCCCAACCAGGGAAACTTGAACCCTCCAAGATGAACGCTGACAGTTTCCCCGTGCAGCAAGGCATCTTGACCAAAGGAGGGGAACAACTCTGACTCACTGTCTGTGGGAACGACAAAGGGAGAGTGCCTAATCTCGACTGCATGCATCCAGCATGTGTATGCCGCCAAGTCAAGGCCCTCCTGTGCCAGCCTCTCCACATGCTGCTTAAACTCCGAGGTCACCCCTCGCTACACACCAGGTCACCCCTTGAAAAGTCAAGGTCTAAAAAGGTCACACCTTACCAGACCTAGAAAGAAAAGCAATGAATGCTATTTTGGTTCAACTCCAACTTGGGCGAAAATTATAGCATTCATTGGTTCACTTAAAGATGACACATGCACACCCAAAGCCTGCCAAGTTCCATGCATGAATATATGTCCAATATGTATATTAAAAATACATATATACAATATATAAAATATATACAATATATACAACATATACAATATATACAATATAT